AAGTGGTTTTGGGAAAAATGGTGGCGTCGGGGGGGGGGGGGGGGAGTTGGCAGGATATCCACTTCTAAATAGAAAGTTCATTTAACTCGTATTCATCTGATCAACTTTTTTTAGGTGAAATGAGCAGTGACTGCAGAATGTGCAGGTATGACAATGTGTGGGAACATGGGCTGGAAGAGGAGTCCTGAAGGTGAGGTTGGGAGGAGAGTCATCCAGGAGAATCCTAAAGACTTGAGGTTCCTCCCCACTCCATACGTTAGCTCTTTCTTCTGTCTGCACCAATAGTTCAGAAGAGACCTCCATGAGTAGTCATGTATATATGATGAGTTTGCTCTAAACCATTATTTTAATGTATAAAATATTAAAGAGGTTTATATGAATATGAATGCAGCTGCCTGTTTTGAAGTGACTAGCATTGTCTCATTCTCTTTTGTGTTGGCTTAGTTATCTTCCTTAGAAGCCAAATACATTTTTAAAGAGTCTTGCTGAAGAGGACAGGCCTTTATGCAAGACAGAATGGGCATGATGTTAGGAATATTAGCTATGTGCACTTAAAAGGATGCACCAGGAACAAAATCTCTGTAGAAAGATATTTTCCTTTTATTAGGAAAGCCTTCTGTAGGCTTAATTATCATGGACAAAAAAAGCACACTGTTTCCCAGCGAAATGCTACCCACTGATATCACAGGAATTCAGCCCTGCTTAAGTGCTGGGAGGTATGTTCTCAGTGCACTTATAATCGGGTCGTTATCGCCATGGTTATGAGATTTAACTGACTGAAAACTGTAGGCATTTGTCTCATTAATGCCAAATGTTATAGTTTATTTCTGGGAACTGAAAAGCCTGCTGCCCAGGGAAACCTGTTCTGTGATAATCTTTGAAAACAAGGTGCTTGAGAATTCCCTGCCTGGCTCATGTCTGATGGTTTCACACATATTTTGTTATTGGTTCTTAGGGGGTTTTGGTTGTTAAATAACTTTGTTCTGTGGTATTTTGCTTTATGAGTTAGTGTCCTTTAAGGACAGCAGGTCTTACAAAACAAGTATGCGGTTATGATGTTCTTTGCTCATATGCAATCACATCTTAGCAAACTCCGCATTTACATTTTACCTTTCCCTCTCCCCTTTTTGGTTCATCTTTTATTGTTACACTTTTCACCTGTGATTTTGGGACTGACTATAGTCACACTTCTCTGCTTGGAAGACAATCGAAGAAGTGCCATTGCTCTTCTAATTTTGTTTCTGTTGTTCCTGAAACAAAAAAATGTAAAATCATCAGTGATTTCAGTAACACTTGGATCAAAACAGAATTAATACCTTTGGACCTTTTTTTTTCCCCTCTGCAGTCTGCTTTGTTGTCAAAATGAGTTATGCCCAAATGAAAACCTTGCATTTGATCAGAAAAATTGACAGAAATTTGAGAGTTTCATGTATCAACTTCTCAATTTTTTTCTCCTGATTTACAGTCTTTGTTGAGTAGGATTTGTACGGAGTATAAAAAAGCATATGTAACTACATCGTTTTGACCTCTAACTAGAAGCGTCATCCATTAAAAGTTGCAGTTTGGATGATTTTTTTTCTGCTTTAGTCTTTCTTTGTTGCATATTGGGACCATACATTTCGATTTTCTTCTTGCAACAGAAGCTAGGCGTACCAGAGCAAAGGAGTTGACAGAGGAAGGCGAGGGTACTTGAAAAAGAATGAATAATACAAATATATAGATTTGAGTGAAAACATAATGTTTTGTAAAGGTCCTTATTTATTGCTCTATTTATACAACACTATTTATCATTGCTATTACTAGAACAACATTTTATGGCTTACCTATAACAATCATGAATGTCTGTAAGTCATTTTGAAATCTAACCGCACTCAGTTTTTTTCAAATGCATAGATTTCTTTTGAATCAGTGGATTTATATAACCAGTCTCTGAAAGTCAAAGCAGCCATTTAATGAAGATTTTTCCCCATTCTACCTCCTGGCACACCTGTGTACACCAGGTGCTGTCACTCCCATAATCAAAGCAGCGGTAGTTTCTACTTATGTCTTTCATAATCCAAATGAAGAATGAAGATGCACGGTCAAAAAGGGACACAGTAATAAGAAAGTTACTTACCAACCTTCCTTACTTTGTGATTTCAGCAGGCATAAGAATGACAAGAATGGATAGGCATTGTAAAATTGGCTTCATACATTTCATATAACTTTATGAAGCTGTATTGCCTTATAGACAAGTGGTTGAAAGGAATAAAATAATATACAAAACAAAACAACACTAAAATAAACGGATCTTTAAATAAAGAATTGCATAGATAAATGCTGAGCTAGAATAAAACTCATAACATTCACCTCTCTTTTATTGTCTTCTGTCTGGTTATCTAATGTAGGTGGCTGTCTTTGTCATTGTATAAATATGTATGTAGGGCTGAGGCTGGGGTTATATGTATATGGGCTGAGGGTACTACAGAAAAATGAGATTTTAGAATGAAATTGTAGACCACTTGTTGGGAGAGGGAGAGGACCGGAGGTTCACAGGTAAATCAAAATTATAATTCCAGCCATGTCCAAGCCAAATCTGATGCCCATGCAAGAGTCTATGTGCTGATTCAGGATGATTAAGCAAAAAAACCACAGTAAATCTGGCTCTGGTATAAATAATAAAGACTACCCAATACATGCAGGGAGGAGACATCCTGACTCCCTCTCACTTCCTTGGGCAGCCGGCACTCTGCTGACAGCTTTGGCTGGAGCCAGCTCAGTGTGTGCTCTCCATGGGCTGCTGGCATTGCAGAGACTCTCCTTCTCCACGCTCAGGAACACCAGTTCAAAGTGACAGAAAGGTGCCTAGAGCTTGGAATAGCCTGACGTTTTGTATTTACTTTGCAAAAGTGCAAAGGATCTTGGAAAACATGAAACCTCGTTGGTTTCAAGAAGAGCAGGATCCAGCTGCAGCCACCCACACGTGCTGGCGGTAGCACAGGCTGTAGGAGAGCCAGGCAAACCTCAGGTACATGAACATTCACCGGTCACGTTAGCAAACCTTCGTATTCTTTTCGAAACAGAGAAAAAAATAGCAAGCTTCCTTCTGTTTGTAAGAATTAATGTTGGTTGTCTGTTTGCATGTCAGTTGGCTGCTCAGTGGAGGTGTGTGTTTTGGAAGTGAGCTCCTTGACCCTATAATTTAGGCTTATTCTCCAGGAGATCCAGAGGGTAATATAATACCTGCAGTAACAGAAAATAGAAGTGGTTCTATTCAAAATGGAGACAGATCAGATAAGGGTAAATCCAGCCACAACCTGGGATGGTAACAGGAAGAGAGTTAAGTTCCAGGATAGTGGCTGGGAGCATTTTGGGAAGGGGTATGATAGACGAATTGGCAGTAAAGGAGGCTGGGATGATATCCCATGGCCAGCATTTCCTGCTACTGCTCTGTTTGTATTACTTTTATTCCACTTCCACTTTCTTGTTTCTGCACGGTCTTGGTATAAAGGAGAAGGAACTACAAACCCATGAATTTTTCCCAGGATCTGACCCAGTTTAAAAAATGTGAGATCATGGTGTCCCCGTCTATTCGACCTGTCTGTTTTCCTTTGCTCCCTATACAGGCAAAAGATTGCTTCACAAGCTGCAGTGCTTCGTTCCTGAGAAACTACAGTTGACCCAGTTGACCTTTTTTTTTTTTTTTCTTATGATAACATTTACAAAATAAATTTGCCTAATTCCCATAACTGTGAAGAAATAAATCATCTTTAGACTGTTGGTCAGCTAAAGTATTTGTAAGGATTCTCTGAAATAGAAACAGTACTCCCTGAAGTTTGTGGTACTGGTAAAACATTTGCAGTCATACTTTTCGTAATTAAATTGAGTTATTTCACGTTAATTAAGTCTGAAATGTACCACCAGCTGAATTAAAGGGAAACTTTATGAAACGAGCTTCTGAACTCTTCAGTCTGTTTTGAATAATACAGCAAATGCCTTTCCATTCCCTCACCATCAGGTAACAGAAACGCGGACTGGCCCCCTTGGCTGCAGTAACTATGACAACCTAGATTCTGTCAGCTCTGTTCTGGTTCAGAGTCCTGAAAATAAGATTCAGTTGCAAGGTATGTAGGTGTGATTTCATTAATTTGTTTTGGAACAGAATGACATTTATCACATTATCTTTTTTTTCCTTTCTTCCACCTCATAAAAGGTCATTTTCCTAATTTTTTGTTGTGTGTGCAATAAATACATTCTAGACAAAGTGAAGGAATTGTCAGTAACTCACGTTGCCTTTGAAATGAAAACTATTTCTGTACACAGCAGAAGATAATTTGAATAATGCTGTTAACATTTTACAGCCCTATTTAGCAATTGCTTGCACACCTTTTAAATGGCCTGAATTCCTGTAGATTCCACCAAACAAGGAATGACATTTAGTCATCCTGGAGGAGAAGGATATAGATTTTCAAAGTCTCTAAATACTAAAGAGTCCAAGGGCTCCTCCTGGGACTTTTAAGAAAACCTGGGAGGTTAGGCATCTCACTCATGAGAAAAACAATAGTAATCATATACGTATTTTTTTTAAAAAAAGAGAAGGAGAGAAAGGAAAAGGAAAAGCAAAAGGAGAAGGAGAGAAAGGAAAAGGAAAAGGAAAAAAAGGAAAAGGGAAAGGGGAAAAGGGAAAGGGAAAAAGGAAAAGGAAGAGGAAAAGGGAAATTTCTAGTGTCTTTTTTGTTAATTCCAGTAGATGCACTTCCCAACCAGCATATTGGGTAAATGAACATTTTTAAAAAGTCACCTTCTAGGGTATTAGGCCATTAATAATTCCTTTTTTTCAGTTACACAAATATAGTATGAACAACTTATTTTTATTACGAAAACAGACCAAGTTCTCTTTAATTTCTGTACTCATGTATACCTCTGTGCATATACAGCGAGAGAAGAATACAGTTCTTATTTTGCAGTTACAGGTAGCTATACAATTATTTCCAGTGGTTGTCAGTTAAAGATTATCTTCCTATTTATAATATCCATGTGATTATTTTTCCCTTTCCTTTCTTTCTCTTTAGAATAGGTTAAAAACAATAAATTATACAATGGTTTCAGATATAGAAGCATTTTTTAAAAGAACTTGTCATTTCCACTGCGGTGCAATTCCCGTGATTAGGATCATGTAAACAGTGGTCAAAATTTTCAGATGAGTAAGTCTAAATTGCTGGTCGCAAGTATTCTGAATTTTTGAGTCACCTGCTCTGTGGTTCTGATAGGTCAATGTGACATGCTTTTGCAAGGCTTCTGTGTGTCATGGCAGGATGATGTAGGAAAACAGCTTGCAAAGGGATTTTCAACATGGCAGGAATTTTTTGAAGCACCTTCAGAGCTAGGCTTTGCACCCTTTCTCCGTTGTAAACCTTTAGTAGATTTAAGAGTTAATTTTGTTTCTCAAAGTTTTACGGACCTACCCATCACATCCGATTGACTGTCCCTTAGAAATTAAATACCAATGTTATAAGAAATATCAATTTATTTTTATTTTTCTAAAATTTCCTCCAACCCAGTTTTTCCCATTCTTCTTAGTTTGTCTCTACAAAATCATGAAGAGGTAACTAGAGTTATTTAGACAAGCTGTGTTTAGTTGTGTCAAAGGCACATGGAAAACAAGTCCAGTACAGAATGGAAACGTTTACCTTCACATCTCTTTTTTCTGATTATATTTTCTCTTTACTCTGTCTTTCAGGACTTCTTTCCCTTCATCAGCACTCTCAAAATTTGCATTAGCTGCCAGTACCAAGATTATAATTCAGCTACATGCTTCCCTACTGCAAAGCTCTTGCTTCTGAGGCTGTTCATTCAGCAATTCTTTACAAGGAGAAGCTGATGTCATCCTTTCTTTCTGTTTTTGACAATCCCACTAGAAAGAAATTCCACCAGTGAACGCTCTGTCTGAGGAGCACAGGCTACTAGTTAGTGGAATGGATATTCCATACTGCGAGGGAAATGTGAGGAATTTATCTGAAATGAATTCTTAAGAAGGGAAATATATGACAGTGCAAATACTAGACAGCTGCTTAAATTGTCCTAGAAAAGCCATATAGTTCCCTTTTTCATAATTGTTTGTTTGTTTGTTTGATTGTTACATAGGTTGGGGAAGGTGCTTGGCTCGAGCATTCCTTTGTATTTAATAACATAACGCTTACTCTGTTCCCTTCAGGTCTTCAAGTTATCCTGCCTGAGTATTTGCAAGAACATTTTGTCCAGGCAGCTCTGAGCTATATTGCCTGCAATTCGGAGGGGGAGTTCATCTGCAAGGATAATGACTGCTGGTGTCAGTGTGGTCCCAAATTCCCAGAGTGCAACTGTCCCTACATGGACATTCAAGCCATGGAAGAAAATCTGCTCCGTATAAGTGAGACTTGGAATGCATACAACAGTGAATTTGAAGAATCTGGTGAGATGTTTTATAAAATTTTTGCCAGTTTGGCTGTATCTCACAAAAAATATTTATACGACAGACTCCATCTCAAATCTCCAGGATGGTTTGCACATCTAAAACTAAACATACTTAAATGAATCCTGGATCTGAGTCTTAATTATTACAACTTCCTGATAGGAAGTGTTGTCCTCACCTTGTGATCGTCAGCAGTCTGGGTATTTACAATAGAATTTAGGCACCTGTGTTTGAGTATATTCATCTGCTATAATTTGTGGAGTCTGGGGCTGTGAGGACTTTGGTCCCTGTCGGACCAAGTGTAATGGACGAGACAGAAAGCAGAACAAATGAGGAACAAAGTCAGCTTATACACTTTGTATGGGTATTCTATGTCTTTGTTCGGTAATGCAGCTGAAACAGCTGCTTCATTTCAGATCAATTTTTCGGTGTTGGGTCAAAGTTTCTCCTGTACTTCCTCTTTATCCTGTCCCTCCAGCAATACCATGAAGCCAACATGGAGAGCATAGCCAGCTTTTCGTTTACCAAATAGTTAACAGTTTATCCCGTCACAGTTGGCAACTTGCTTATTCATATGATTTCTGTTTAAACTGGACCTTTCCATGTTGTCTTTACAACACTTTTGTGCCACATTAGTTTTCTTTAAAGCACCGAGGTTTTTTTCATACATCATTTCACCCGTCCTGAACTTCCAGTCCCATAGAGAAGGGGAACCACAAGTAAAATCAGCTTCTGAACAACTGTTTTCACAACTCACTCACTCAGTGATACCAGTAACAGCTGTCTAGCCAGATGGTGGGAAAAGTAAGGAGAGCTTAGCAGACCTGGGAAAAATCACTGAGAAAAAAAAAAAAAAAGTCAATGAGAGAGATAAGGGAGAAGCAAGAAAAAAAGCAAAAATCACACTTATTAATGAGGCTTACTGGAGAAAGAGAACAAGTCAGTAGAAGAGAGAGGGAAGAAGTCTATTCAGTGGTCATGGAAGAGTGTGGGAGAGAAGAAATATCGGTACAATACTTAACGGTGAATTGTATACATTCATTTTTCATATTTGTTGTTATGTTAAAGACTGATTTCCCAATTCAAGGTTGAGAATTTCAATAGACTCTATATCAGTTAAACTTTCAGTTGTAACTTTTAGTGAGACCTAATGCTTAAATCTGGGTGTGTTTGGGAGATCTCAGGCCCTTTTCCTAGCCCTAGTCTCACTCTCAGCATGAGGACACCAGAACTTACCATATTTCTCCTTGGAAGATCACAGACTTCTCTGATTATAAAAGCATGAATTTATGTTTTGGTTTTGTTTATGTAAAAATGCATTTTCCCAATGACTATTTTGATTTTTTTAAGCATTTATGGAGTTGTGCTATCGTGTACTACTTTGCAAACTAGGACAAGCATATTGACTCTACAGAATTGTGTACCGTATTTTGTCCTATTTGAATGTGATGTGACACTGTTCAGTGCCTGAAGAATGTCATTTGATGGCACCTACTTAACAGCAATTTTAGTCAAACTGAAAGAGCACACACTTTTGAATCTGTGGAGGATTCTTATAGCAAGCTGTAGAGGGGCGTCAAATTACTTACGAGTTTGAATAGTTGTCAGCTACACATATAGTCCTATGTTCAGGACTGAGACATGAATGTCAGGGGAAAAATTAGTAAGAGTTAAATTCTGTACTTTTAAAAGAGTCTCTTTAGCTACTCTGTGTGAATCACTAAAATGGCAACTTCATGTACATCTGTCAATTAGGTAATTGCTAGTAGATGTGGTTACTAAAAAGTGTGAAATATAGGTTATTAACAACATTAAGATGTATACCACACCCATTCTTTAGCTCTTGAATTATTTAAATAATTTTTAATCTAATACATATACAAAGCATGACTTCCACATCTCATAGGTAGCTTAGAAAACCTCTGTTCTGAACTTATAAACTGTTTTACATAAAGATGTTCATGGAAAGATGAGATAGATAACCTTGTATGCGTACACACTTTGCTGAGAAAAAGTTGGCATGTGAACTTTTGATAGATAGCTTAGTCATTGCTCATTCAACCTCCCTATATAAGTCATATATTACTGTCTGAACAGCTCTTCCAGAACTGTCACACACAGTCTGTAATCATTTCTAGCCAGTGGTTACTGAGACATATTCAGAAAAATTTAGAGCTTGTGCAAGATTTAAACTGTGAAAAATACTGTTAACAAATATCAGCACAATCTGATTCATGTTAACAGCACGTTCTGAGAACAAAAGTGCCCTTTATTAAACCAAACTTATATTTTAAAAAGATACTTTATAACTTTGATGTGGGATATTTATCCTTCAGTCTTTGTCCAAATCAGTGGGAGTCAGCTTTTGAGATAAGAGTATGCTGTTTTATTCTAATAAATTTATAATAAAAATAAATTAGTTAGAAAAGAGAAGGGTGAAAGAAGGACAGATTCTTTAGCAATTTAGAGTCCGAGTAGACAAGGGACAAGATAATGACAAGATAAGATAACTACTGGCCCATATAGTCTACTACTAACTTCAGAGGAAGGAATGAATAGATTGATTCCATTCTTTGACACTACGAACTCAACATTCAGGTAAAGCTAAGTGCAAGTGTATTGATTTTCTAACTCTCTGTCTTCCAAACCCTGCCTTACCTTACATGTAACAAAATAGTCCTCTGAATCCAGAAACAAATTTTGTCCCCCTAATACAGACCAGTAAATCTTACTGGGTTCACTTGAGGTTATGCACATGATCTGTGGACAGAATTCAAACTAAAGAGGAAGAAGCAAATATTCTATTTAAGATGGTTTGTTTACTGTCGGTGTTATCTCTCCCTTCTGTCTGTTCAAGATAAAACAACTGAGGAATAGATTTTTTTAAAGGAAAAAAATGGCAGTTTTTCAGTGCCTAAATCCCATTTGAAATCAATGGGTAGGTAAATTTAGTTTGTGTCTTTGAAACTCTTCATCTGGATTTCCAGAAATAAAGAAAATTTAAAAAAAAGGCAACTGGACTGTTTTTTCTACAGCCTTCTGCTCTCTTCCAAACTAGGCGCTTTACATTATTGTTTTACCTTTTAAATTATGAGATGGGAAAGAAAAATGTGTGTACCTAGTTAAAAGTCAAAGGTCCTGAACAGTGCAATTACAACTGCAAAAAGTTAATAGCATAGTATGACAACTCTTTGCATACTGTCCAACGTGTCCAACTGCAACAAGTACTCTCGTTAGATTAATGTAATGTTGGGTGAAATGAGAGCATGTACCACATCAGGAACCTCCTGAAGTTCAGCAAGGAGAAGCTGAAAGTCGTGCACCTGGGGACTCTTGCACCAGGCACCAGGACATCCAGCTGGAAAGCAGTGTGTCAGAAAAGGACCTGGGGGTCCTGGTGAACACCATGTTGACCATGAGCCAGCAATGTGTCCTTGCAGTAAAGAAGGCTGATGATATCCTGGGCTGCATTAGGAGGTGTGTTGCCAGCAAGGCAAGTGAGAGGATCTCTCCTCTCTCCTCAGCACTGGTGAGGCCACATCTGGAGTATTGTGTCCTCCAGGCCTGAGCTCCTCAGTACAAGAGAGACATGGACGTATTGGAGAGAAGTTCTCAAAGATGATGAAGGATCTGGAGCGTCTCTCCTGTGAGGAAAGGCCAAGAGAGATGAGACTGTTCAGCCTGGAGAAGAGGAGGCTCAGAGGGAGATGTTACCAATGTAGAGAAATACTTGAAGGGAGGGCGCAAAGAAGATAGAGCCAGGCTCTTCTCAGTGGTGCCCAGTGACAGAACAAGAGGCCATGGACACAAACTGAAACACAGGAGTTTCAGTCTGAACATCAGGAAACACTTTTTCACTGTGAGAGTGACCAAATACTGCCACAGGTTGCAGAAGTTGTGGAGCTTCCTCCTTGAAGATATTCAAAAGCCATCTGGACACAGCTTTGGGCAAGTGGGTCTAGGTGCCTCTTCTTGAGCAGGGATTTGGACCAGAGGTCCTTTCCCACCTCAACCATTCTGTTACTCTGTGATCAAAGAATTTTCCTGATTTTCACATAGGATGACTCTGGTCATCCTTGGGTTTAGTGGTAGTGACAATTCTCTTTTTGAGCAACTATGATTATTATGGATTAGATGAACCAATATGTTCCTGTTCAGAAGGTGTCATTCATCGTTATGCACAGATTTCATTTCACTCAGGCTCTTCTGGCATCTTTGACTACTAGAATCTCATTTTGGAGGACATGGAGCAGTATTTAATTTATTTCTCAGTAAATTTGGTTGCCCTTCCATCTCTGTAGCTGCCCTGCAGCAATATGTACTTGATCACTATTAGCTCAATGAGCTTCATATAACCTCTCAATATCAGGGTATGTACTAAGTTCTCAAAGAAATTACAAGAGCTACTTTAAACTGTTTACTCTGAACCATCTGTTTATTCTTTATTGTATCTTGTGGCCTCCAGACTCAGCTACTAAGCTTGCAAATGAGCAGCTGTTTCCTTACCAAAAATCCATACTAAAGCTGTTCAACCTTTATTAACAAATTTCATTAGTTTCTTGAGGCCTTTGGCTGAATTAATGTGTAAGCAAAGTTGTCTCTGAGAACATCATTCCATGAAGCTGGTTTTTTATCATCTAACACTTGGCCTAAAAATACCGCCTCTAATGGAATCAAGCAGTGTTTCATCTACTCTTTCTTAATGTGCATGAAATTAGCCTTTCATGGGAATTTGTAGCCTAAAACGATAACTAGATAATCTAGTTGACCTGCTGTTATCACAAGACACTAAGTTTCACTGAGATTCCAGAATATGGAGTCCACCTACATCAGTTAGTTTAAAGCACTGCAATCTCCACTAATGTACCTGTAGCCCACCCCACCTTTTCCATATGTTGTTCTTCTAACATTGACAATTTTCCTGTACCCCTTCTGCCCCTAATATTAGGAGCATGTTTTTGTCTAGCTCCTCCTCTCAGTAAATGTTATCTTTCCACTTCAGGAAAAAGGTTTGATCTAAGCATTCAGGTGCTAATCATTTTCACACGGAAAAGAGAGTCAGAAGAAAAAGTTGAAAATTTCTCAAATTTTTTAAGTATGGAGGATTTTCACAGCTTGTGGTTACAGCAGTGTTGAAGATGGTGTTAGTGAATATGTTCCCTTATTATACATTACTGATTTTTGAAGTTTTTGATACTCTCTTGACAAGACAGTGCACAAAAAAAACCCCAAATTCTAATGTGAAACTCTGTCAACGACTTACTGACAATTTAGTGTTTTACAGAGATTATGACCCACTGCTCTAAAACACATGAAAAGCATGAAAACCCATAAAAACACCCACAGGCTCTGGATTCTGACAGCAAGGATAAGAATATAGTCTTGCATTGTCTGTACCATAATCCTGCTGTGGTTGGTTGCTGAGTGCCTTTGGAAATCTGGCTGCTTCATTTAAACAATTTAAAAGACAACAATTTTTTTTAAGGTGGTCTGCTCAGTGACATCTAAAACCAATTTGCAGCAGTCCATGTTGCAACTTAATTTCATTTTTCTAAATTAAAAAGGCTATTAAAATAAATGAGGGCATGGATTATAGGGTTGCTCAAAGAATAGAAGATGGCAAAAGTACATTTTCATAATTTCTTTTTTTATTGCTAAAATTTATGAGACCTCCTGGAAACATGAAAGTAAAATCTTCCATCCAAGCATTTATTTTCACATAGCTCACATGCAATGGCAGCTTGCTGCCTTATCTTTGCATATTTCCCAAGTGCTGAACAGTTGGTTTTTTTTTTCCTTGAAGGCAACAAAATCTCTTTTGGAATATTTATTTGAAAGCCATGGGATGAGGACATGTGCAACAAATACTATGAGGTATATTTTCAAAGTAGCTTTGAAATGGAAAACTTATTCTTTCAAACATTTAGTTTAAATACAAAGTACTATGGAAGGAAATAGCAGGGCCTATAACAAATTGGACAGAAATTTTACTGTCACAGTTGGGTTTAAAGATGATTCAGTAAAGCGTCAATATATGTGCTTATTTTAATCAGTTGTAGTCCCTTAACTTCACAGATTTGACTTCTGGGCTGAAATATTCAGTGTCAGTTTAAGTAGATCAGAGCCAGGGTCATCTAGGATGTTGAAGAGCTTGGCCCACTGAACAAAAAAATTATTTACACTACCAGACATGTGGTTTCACAGGCATGATTAAGCATCAAAAGTCATCCTGTAAATATTATGAAGTGCATCCTTCTACAAGTTTAAAAGATAAACTTCTCAAAATGTGGAGTTTGATTTTTTTTTCAATCACTCTGTATCTACCTGCTTTGGAGAGGTATTTCAAAAGGTAAATTTCAGTATCACAGAAAGTGCCAGTGGTATCAGTACAGCTAAAGTAAATTGTTATTAACTTTCACATTAATATTTGCTGAAACTATTTTTCATTGTACATCCATCCTCCATCGTTGCTTTGATTCGAAAATACTAGCTGAAGTGAATTGCTGTTGCAAGCTATTTCTTCTTAAATCCTTGGATTCACTGGATTTGGATTTCATGTCTAATGCATTTCATAATTCCCTAATAACTCCAAGATGTCTTGCTATTGAGCCTTGGTTACTCTTTACATATACTGACCTAAAATGGTCTGAAAAAATTCACAGTTTTGGAAGTTTCACCTAAAAATTAGATCTGAATCCTCTGTTAACGTATAGCACTACACAGTTACCAAAGTTTTCTTGTTTGCATCAGCACAGGTTGCTTTTGAGACTTTAGACTCCTGCTTCCTCAGTCCAATTATATATTTTTTCATTTCTTTATAATGATTGAACTAATGATGTTCTCAAAATTCCTTGTATAAAAGAATTGGATTTAAGGGGTTGAAGAAAGCAGGTTCTAATAGAGGAGATGATAAGCTTATTACTAAATTAAATATAATTAATACTGAAGATGAGGACGTTCAGGCATCTCACTCTCTTTTGGGGAGTAGCTTTTGCATCTTATATAATTATGTTTATGTAAAATCTATAGAAAGCAATAGGAGAGATCATCTCCACCATTCCATAATCTTCAGTTAGATTTAGAGAATTATCCATTTAATAGCATCATGAATTTATATCTCCATCTTCAAAAGTGCAAAATGTATTTTGATGCAACACTTTCAGAACTGTCTCCCTTCTCCTGCAGTTCACATTTTCCAGTATGAAATATGAGCATACTGTAAAATGTCAAGTTTGAAACAAGAAAGGCTCCTTCCACTAAGCAAATCTACTTCCCAGATTGGCAAATCTGTTTTTTTTTTAAAACCACGCACAACAGAAGCCCAAAGATGGTCTTGGAAAAAGTGAAGAATTAGTGTTCTCTCACTGCTGAAGTTAACCTAGACCTTAATCAAGTGAAACTTACATGCAAACTTGGCCAAAAATTTTATTATTGAATACTACTAAAAGATGGAATATGTTGCGATTCACACTTTGGTGGTGGTCTTGCTGTCTAGACATCTGAGTTGTCTAAGTCACAAGCTTTTCAAAAGATTGACCAACCATTTCTGGTCACACTACGTGTCCTCATAAAATAGCACTGTGTGCTGACTCCAGGCTTCTGAACTGTTCTACTGTTTCTTGTGAAGGATGACAAACCCTGTTCTCACAGTGAAGGTGGTTTCCAATACCCAGATTGCAAACCGTGGTAAAATACAGTAAAATCAAGACTGGAAATTACACTTGGCACTGAGGTGGAAGTGCAGATGCTCAGAGGAGAATTCTTTACACCCTCTTCTAGCCCTATGAATTTGCTACAGATAGGCAACGCTGCCTTCATGATTATTGAGGCTGTAAAGAAGCTGTAAAGGAGGAATCCTAAGACTATTCCAAACTCAGAGACTGAATCAGTTAATACGTACATCCATAGCAAGTGATCATATTTGATCTCAAAACCCACACATATCTCTTACTATTTATCAGGGAAGATAATTTTATAGTCATTATTCTTGCAAGTAGAGACCCTTAGGTTATGAGCACGTAGTAATAAATCTGTTGTTTTTTTTTTCTTTCATTCAGTTTGAGTAACAATGAAAAAATAGCAGACGTAGCCAGAGCAATCAGACTTACTTAATTTGCTAAAAAAAATTTATGCTTAAATAAAACACACAGAAACCCAGCCACTTTAACAAAATGTAAAGTTAAATTCTTAACTTAGTTTTAAACAGATTAAATTTAAAGTTAAAATAAAAATAAATTAAATATGTAAATAAATTTAAATAGATTGCCCATTGCTGAAGACAGAAATCTTAGATGTCCGGGTGACAGAATGAGTTATGATGACAGCCAACGACAAATCCAAATCTTCAAGATCAAATGTGAATCATAGCATAAAGACACAGGAAACCTGGGGAAAGAAGTTTGCATCATCAGATAAGTACTAGCTTTTTCATCATTTTATATACTGATGTCAGCTGAAGTCGTGCAATCATCTTAATTATGAATTACATTAATATTTCCCAGCAGTGCATTAAGGAACGCAAGCGGGGTCCCTCATGTCATTCATTCTTTCTCCTCCTTTCCATCAGACAAGCATTTTAAAGTATTGCTGTGATCACAGTGTGTCAGGTCCTTTCTGATGGATGACTCCAGCAAAACTACAGCAAGTCTGAATTTAGTGTGTGATGTTTAACCTTAACAATCCCTCTATTTAGTCAGAAAAATCTAATATAACTTTACCATCCCAATAAGTCACAGATTTTTGCCATTCCTCTGGAGTGAATTCTTCCTAAAAAATGCTTTAACAAAAGTGGGCACCTTGGGATTCTTTTTTATTGCCTCTCACTATCTTCAAATCAAAGTCACCTATCTGACAAGTGAAAAAAAATGTCATTTTTTCCAGCTGCCAGGCCTGCAAATTGACTACATCATGTAGACATCAGCCTGGGTTCTGCCCCTCTCCCGTATGGCTAGCAGTAATGATAACCCTAAGATCTAAACAATGCCCTTAATAATTCCTGTGTAAACTACAGTTATGTTGTTCAGACTGCCTTTTAATCACTAGGTGAAAATTATCTTGGTGTCTGTAGGGTTCCCTGTGATCCTTCTAGTACAAGAGGATAAAAAAAGGAAAAAAAAAAAAAAAAAAAAAAAGAGAATCTGCATTGTAAGATTGACATTTTAAAACATGGTTAATGTACCAAATATCTCATTTATACCTGTTCCAAATTACTAAAAATGAGCAAAAGAGCAGAAAGTAACTGCAGGTTTAATTTGGAAATGTCAATTTAAACATAGATGTTGCTATATGTACACCCTGATCGGAGGAAACTTCTTACAATTATAATGGAAGAAAAGTGCCCAGACTGACTTTCAGACTCTATGTTGAGGTTCCAAGTCTTAAATAACATTGCAAGATGACTGGATTTGATTTGGCATCTCAGACAGACTGTAAGTTTCGAGTCCCACACTGTCATTAGCAGTGAAGACAGTTTCCACTGGAAGTTCTCTCTTACCACAGCCCACTGACGTTAATGCTTTTCCAGTTACTGTGCTTCCATTCAAATGCATGTAACCTAAGCTTAAAAATGAAATTTGGAATTAAAACTGAATACTGGAGGGTTTCTTTAATTTATAAAATTTGACCTTGCTCTCTAACAAGCTTTGTTTTCACTGACTCAGAAGAACGAGAGAACGCACGGGTCGAAGGGCCCTTGCCAGCTCATTGTACGCGCTCCACAGGAGGTGTGATCGCTCAGGTTGTTCAGGTAGCACAGTCTGGCTCTCTGTTGACCAGAAAAGACCGTTTGCGATGCAAAGTGAGTCTCATTTGAAATCTTAATTGAAAGACTCCTCATGAAGTCTGAACAGACTCGCTGGCATTTGAAGGCACTTTTTAATCACTGTGAATAAAGACTTCAATCGATATGGTTCAGACTATTTGCCCCTGAGCAGTAGAGCGGTGGTTTTCTTTAAAACTGTGCTTACAGCTTCAGGCTCAAGGCCAAGAAAACTTAGCCCCTTGAGTTCTTAATATAATTATTGTTTTCTCTATTATCTTGCAAGTGTGTTAATTTGCCTCCCAGTAATTAACTTCCCTGTGTGGTTGTCAGGAAGTTTAATCAATAGCATTAACAGATACACCAAGCTGTCCTTCCTTCTGCGACCAGTGCTCCCTCCCACCTCTCCCACTCCTGTGGAGGTGTCACTGTTTTAATAAAATGAACAGGTGGGATGTGCATAATTTCTTCCAAGAGTCAATGTCTAAACTGCTCATCTCCTACTCCAGAATGAAGGTACAGCCAGTCAGGTCCCATCAATAGAATTGCCCCTGTTCCAAAACTAAAAGCATTACATGACTCCTGCTAAAGCAGCACCTGGCAAATCAGCTTAACAAAGTTTTACATGGCATTGCATTCTCCGACACCTTAAAAATTGTGTGACATTGTAATAAGAGGAGGAGCAGAAGGCTCGATCTAATATTATTCTACTTATGTCCAGCCTGTACGGGACATAATGTAATTCCCTTCAAAGCTAGTGACAAAACCCCTCATTCTTGGTGGAATTCCAACCTGCCTTGGCAGCTTTGGTCTTTATTAAGAGGGAGATAGCTCTGTGGCCTCTCTTTTCTTCTAAGTTAGTCTTGTCTGTTCTGATTCATAGCTTCTTAAATCTTCTCTTGTAACAGCTTAACACTGGTTATTTACTTCAATGTGTTTTCCAAGAACACTTTTAATTTATGCTCATCCTCTTCCCTGAACTATCCTTCTGTGATGCATTCCATGTTTATTTACCTTACTCAGTTTTCAAACTACAGGAGTTACCAGCATGACCAGGAGCTAGCAAGGTAACTTTTGGTGACAGAGGTTATGTCTAAATCTACACATAAGAATTATGTCCTATGAATCATGTGCATTTATAGTACTATAGAAAGATAATAGCTAGCACTAGATAGAAATTGGAACATCTATGCTGCAGGAATACTTGTAAACCCTGTAGAAATTGTCAAAATGTTCACAAAGAAACCTCCAGAATAACCGATAGATTTTTGAGACATTTTTCTTGAAAGTTTACGATGAATTCCAAAGGACATCCATTTGAAGGGTAGTGATATAGACATTTTTAAAGTAGTAATGAATGAAAATCACATCCGAAAGAAAAACTGACAGGATGCAGGGAATGTCCTTCAAATGTTGGGTTTTGCAGAGACAGCTGTTGGAGTCTTTTTTCGATTTCTGAAAAGTGAACTTGCTGTCAAGGTCATATTTAGATTGAGAATAAGAAACAAGTCATTTCTTGATTAGAGAAAATGTGAGTACTTTCAGCTTGTGACAAAGGTTCAAGGGGAAGGTTCTTATCCTCTGCCTGCTAAAACTTCAGAATTAATCCAAGAATTAAACCAAGAAACCTACCCTACTGAAGTAATAATAAAAATCTTCCCCTGAAGCTTACAAAGCAGTTGTACCAGTTATTGGTATCTATTGTACCGGTTCAAATAGCCTGTCCAATATTCTGTGCTGAGCTTCTCTCCTACTTCATATGCAGTCCGTATCTTCCAGAGCACATACGTTTCCTTCCTTCTCTTTGTCCTTCAGAAAGTTTAAAGAAGAGTTCATTTGCTTTAGAGAAGGAAATGTTTTAATTACAGGGAGAGCTGAATGATTTAGCCTAGGTGGGGACAGGGGAAGGGAGGAAAATTCAGCTTTACTATCTTTTCTGTGAAGAAATAAGGTTGTTTCAAGCTGCAGTCTTATGCTTCCTTGAATTGGATTATTTTCAAGCATATATTTCTTGGAACACAGCTGCTACTTCTTTGTCAAATGAAGTAATGCACCATGAACAACTAAAATTCATTGCAACATAAAAACAAATATATGTTCATTTTAGTACATTGTTTTCTCCAGGCTTTTGAATCATGGCGGGATATTTTTTAAACCATGTATCTTTTATAAATCTCTTTAATAATAACTACACAATATTGAGGCAGCACTTTGCTGAACAGTGGCCATATCTGACCATTTCAAATGTAGGTCCTATTGCTTTTTATTCTCTCAGACGACGAGCTTTGTGGTTTGAGCCTACAGCTGACACTGATATTTGACTTGCTGTCATATTTATTGCCCTGATTACAGTTAAAAATGTTGTTATGGGAAAGGTCACATTATTAAAGTGGAAGGCTTTTCACATACAGTACTGTTATGTAAGAAGCGTGATAAACTCATAGGGATTATGAGATCTTTTCTACCAGAATTCTTGCTCCTCATACTAATTGCAGCTACCATGGAGGACTCCAAGGAGGATACAGTTGCCTGGAGCCATGAGCAAATTTAATATTATTATTTGTAATACACGGCAACAATTAAATTTGGGGTCTGTTGTGCTAACTGCCCTATAAAGCTGCAATAAGAGACATGCTCTTCTCTGAAGAACTTGCAGTCTAAACAGAAAAGACAGTTGAAGGGTAACAGAGATAAACATTTATCTGCAAAATATGACAAAATGTTGAGGCAGCTGTTTTGAAAAAAAACAGGAATAATCTTTCAATAATTGTGAAATTATGCTTTTTTAACAGAACACAGTAAAGCACTTTCACCTTCATTTTTGAAATTATTACTCATTTTGTCATTTTTTACTTTGAAACTTTTATGTTATAATACAAAATTAAAGGTTGACATAAAAGTGTAAAATTTCTGTTCTGTCATGGTGTAGTATTTTGACTTATTCAAAGCAAAGTAAAACAGGAAAATCTTGCAATGTTTCTTTTAGAGGATTTCAGAAAAATCAGAAGCATTTGGAGAATTTTAGAGAATTTCAAAAGACTTAGCTTGCACCTAATTTTGGAATGCTAAAACTCCTTTCAGAAAGTGGATTTTCTATGCTCTGCACAGTTCTGCTTAAGAGCCTTTGTTATGAAATGAATAGCTTTAGCAGCTTTCCTTAGCTTTTGTGTGAAATTAATTGGTAGTCTTCTCTCCAGCTTCTAACCTATAACAAAAATAAACCAATATTTATACAAAATAATAGGCTTATTTACAGCATCAGCAGATAAGGTCAGCACTGAAATGGACACAGAGGTTAAGCAAATTGGCAGAGCAGGGTTGGATGGCTTGCTTTGCTGCTGTGTGACAGCTTTTCTGTAGGTAAACAGATTGCTGGAGTAGCTAGAGATATTTCCTTAGTGTTTTTCAATGAAAGCTTTTGGTCCGAATATTTCTTCTTGGCTCTGACTGTTGCTTATTTTCCTTATGCAATACTACCTGTTTGGTTTGGCTTGCTATTAAAATAAATTGTGTGTAAGGAAGGCTGGAGTCGTATTAAAGCCAGGTGTAGACAAATGATTAGCACAGACAAGGAGAGAGGTTATTTTGGAGAAACCTCACACCCCAACTGAACTAAAACTGCAGCTGAAATTTTTCATTTAACATAAAGCTTCAAGTTCCTTAAGTAGTTTTTCCTCTAACAGGCAGGAATCTGGAAATTATTGCAGGCACCTGTCTTTGGAAGATCATCTCATGAATCACTCCTCAGAGAGGGAATAGTGTTCCCTCTGCAAAGCACTGGGAAAGATGAAAAGAGAGATAGGATCTTCACAGAGATCCTTCAGAGCCAAGCGTCTGAACCCTCAGCTGCACGTGATGGGCAGCCAGAGCCTGTACTCCATCAAACGGCAAATGCCGACTGTCAAGATGGGGGAACCGGAGGCTCGTGACTTCTAGCCACGGGAAGATGGCTGCTTTTCCACCTGTAGATCTGTGACTGCAGAATAGGTTCAGTGGCCTGGTAGCAGAGAAAGGGGAGAAAGATGCATCTGGGGAGCCACCAGAGCTGGCCAAGCCTGACCCACGTACAGGCACCAAAAAGCAGTGGGTAAAGGCATTGGAATGGACATCCCCCTCTGCTGACCTGACCTACTCTCTGGGGAAGTTTTCTGCGGGCTTTGGAATGTTGGGGAGAGACTGCTGAGGCTCGTCTGGCTTTTCTTAGACTGTTTTCCCTTGCTGCTCATCCACGTGGGTGCTAACAACACTGCCAGAGGAGAGCTGGAGACTATCAGGAGTGACTACATGGCTCAGGCCCATGGAGCGTCTCCTCGGTCCTACTAAGGAAAGGGAAGCTCTTTCTTAGGAATACATAGTGCAGGGTGACAGTAGCGAGAGTGATGATAAAACAGGGTAAATGGTAATCCACCCCAAGTATGTCTACTTGAATGCACTTGACCTGTGAAATGAGTAGAATGAACCAGAACTCTCCATGAGGGGACAGAGGTACAACGTTGTTAGGATCGCAGAGAAAGGGTGGGACAGCTCGCCTGACTGCTCTACTGTGGTGGAAGAGTACAGGTTCATGAGGAAAGACAGGCAGTGATGATGAGGAGGGGAGTTGCCCTCTAAGGAGTAGCTTGGATGTATGGAGTCTGCTATGGGATGGACAACAGGGATGAGCACTTGGGGGTCAGGGTCAGAGGAGAGGCCAGCAAGAGTGGTATTGTGGTGGCAGTGTGTTACAGACCTCCTGGTCAGGGTGAGGATGGGTATGAAGCCTGCGTTAAGCAACTGAAAGATATGCCTGGATCACAGACACGGCTTCTCATGGGGAACTTTAACCTCCCTGGTGTCTGCTGAAAAGACAGCACTGTGGGGCGTAAGCAGTCAAGGAGGTTTATGGAGGATGTCAGGAACGACACCTTGATCCAGGTACTGGATGGATCAACAGGAGTGGCATAGAGCTGGAGTGGCTGTTCCCTAACAAGGAAGTGTTGTTTGGGAATGAGATAATCAGTGGCAATCTTGGCTATAGAGAGCCTGAAATCATGGTGTTC